ACAATTACTTTGTGTGGACTGTTCACAGGTCCTCAGGCAATAGATGAACCAACAGTTAGGTTGCTATAACGGATAATCTCCTGCCAAAGATTGTCTAGCACAATGAACATCATCCCTTCCCTCTCCCCTAGGTCTCCAAACACTTCCCCTATGGTTCAGGAGCCTCCAGGAACCATCAGTGCTCATTAGCCTGCATAGTCAAATTGGGGTCTATTCTAAAGATAAGTTTAATAGCTGGGTGCCTGCTGGTAAACTGAGGCTGACTCCCCTAGGCTCATAGAGGTATCGGACTAGGCGAGAAGTGCTCTGAAGTATTGATTGTGGCAGATGCTACCGTTGTGTTGCTTTCTGAAATCTGGAAAGAGACTAATTAACATGAAAGGGCTCTACACAAGCGGGTGCTCTGGCTGCCCAGTTTTGTGTGGTCTTTGAGCCTGAAGCTGGGTGCTTTGGCATAACGGCAGCATTATGTAATGCTCAGAAAAGAGCACAAGCTGGATGTCTAGAAACTTGGGTTCTGGAACCAATGCTGCAACTAACATGCTGTTATGATTTTGGACAAGTCACTTACCCTTTTTGGATCTCAGTTTCTTTGTCTGTACAGTGAGGAGCTGGACTAGATTATTTCCAATTTTTTTTTTTACAGTTCTCACATTCTATAGTTATATGGATTGCAACTAAACACAGAGATTGTAACAAGACAGTAGCATGATGCTCTTCCTCTTACCTGAAAGAGCAAACATCCTCTCTGCTATCTATCTATCTATCTATCTATCTATCTATCTATCTATCTATCTATCTATCCTTTTCTCTTTCCTTTTTTCTTCCTTCTTCCTTCCTTCCTTCCTTCCTTCCTTCCTTCCTTCCTTCCTTCCTTCCTTCCTTCCTTCCTTCCTTCCTTCCTTCCTTCCTTCCTTCCTTCCTTCCTTCCTTCCTTCTTTGCTTCCCAATTCAGTTCTTGGCTCTTCTTTTCCTAAGCACAGAAGAAAGCCTTATCACTTCTGGCATTGCCTTTCCACTGGGTGTCAAATACGATGTCCCTAGCCAGAAGCCCTAACTCAGAAATGGATTTTATTTAAATGGATATAAAGGGCCTGTCTGCCAACACTGAACTCTGGAATAAGTCTGCCAAACACAATGACATTTCCTTAAAGTAAATCCAACAGGTCAATCTATGGAATTTAATCAACTCTCTCTGTAGGGATGGGCTTTTCTTTAAGAGTTTTTCATCTCCCCAAGGAATTTTAGCTTTTCAGAGCTGTGGGAAGCTCTCTCTTGTGGAGGGACAAGTGTCTCATCTCTAATATTAGGGTAATAGAAAAGTGTGATACTTACTTGGTTCCACAATAAGCTGAGTTGCTGTTCCAAAGATGAGCTGTGCAACATAGGCACTGTTGAAACGAAATGTACAAAAACACCCTTGCTGCATCTCTGTTCTCCCTCAATCTGGCTGCACAACTCAAAAAGAGGAGGTCAGGGGGCTTGACTAGAGACCCACAGATCTATGGGGTTTTCTGAGATCTAAGCACATGTGTTGGTATCACGTTTGAAGTCTGGTACCATCTGGGTGCTAAGATTTTTATAAAATCCCCTGGGTTTCTTGGTATCCCCTCTACACTGACATCTTTTACCACATCATGAAAGGAGGACTGTCCCTGGCTAACCTTTATTTTCCTCCTGGTCTCTGCCCTTAAACTCTCATTTGCTCTCATTGACTGTTAGAGGTGGAAGGGACATTTTACCTTATCTAAACCAATTTCTTTATTTTAAGAATGAGGAAAAAATCCTATAGAGATGAAGTGACTTTTCTAAGATCAGACAATAACATTTACTAGTGGAGAGTAGAATCTTTTTGACTCTGCTGGAGAATTTCCCAGTGGTCACTGCCTATTCGGATGGTGATTCAATCCATACTTCTTGTCTGTCTGACCATTGTTCTTTCTACAATACAGTACACCTCATTACAGGTACGTTCAAAATCCATTTATTTGCTGCCAACTGGGTAGGACCTCCAAAGTTTGTCAGAAAGGAAAAGAAAGAGAAGCAAAGAACATTCAGGATAAGATGGATAATCATGAGGGCAGTGTTGTAGGGAGAATCTTTCAGTCCCCCCCAAATTAACTTGAGAAACAAGCCTAGGAGAAACAAAGCCAACCTTTAGTCTCAGAAGGAACACTGAGTCACAGTCACTTACTTGGAATGCCCTCCAGTTGGGTTCCTTTCCCAAAGATCCATGGATTAGTTAAATATGAAATATTACCTGTGGTCCCAAGAAGAAAACTCTTCTTTTCTTATTAACATAACTCTGCTCTTGGCATCAACAACCAGGTAGATGGATTCTTAGCTCCCTAGCTCCAGGTTTTTAGTCCTGTTTTGACCTCTTCACACTCAGCCTTGAGGAAGGTCTTTTAAAGAATAAGCATTAGAAAATGGAAACCTATTTTATTTTCAAATATAATTTGAAAAGATTGTTATCCATATTTTCTAGCTTTCCTGTGCTAAAGGGAATAGGATATGTGTGGAAAGGTTAATGGAAATAATAATAATAATTATTATTATAATAATGATAACTATGTATATCAATCTAATTTTCTACTTCATTGATTTAGGGAGCTTCTGATGAGGTAATTGCCTTTATCAATGCAGATTGCCAAATGCTCTGTAGCTTACAGTCATAAACTTGTCTGGGAACTAAGTTATATCTAGTCAATAAACACTTATTAAGTAGCTACTATGTGTCATACAGGCAGCTAGATGGTGCAGGAGACAGAGCACTGGGCTTAGAGTCAGGGAGACTCATCTTCATGAGTTCAAAGCTGGCCTCAGATACTTACTAGTTACGTGACACAAGGCAAGTCACCTAATCCTCTTTGCCTCAGTTTCCTCATCTGTAAACTCAGCTGGAGAAGGAAATGACAAACCACTCCAGTATCTTTGCCAAGAAAACTCCAAAATGGGGTCACAGAGAGTTGGACACAACAAACAACTGAACAACAACAACAAATGTGTCAGACACTGTACTAAATACTAGGAATACAAAGAAAGGCAAATAACAGCCTATGCTCTCAAAGAGCTCACAGTCTCATTGGAAGACAACATGAAAACAACTATGCACAATAAAGATTATCTAGGTGGTCTATAGATCTACATCTACATATGTATCTATAGAACTATATATGAAATTGAAGATAATAAATGGAGCATTAGCGCAATGGCACTAGCATAGAGATAGGGAAAGGCTTTTTGTAGAAAGTTTGATTTTTAGCTGGGACTTGAAGGAAGCCAGGGAAGCCAGGAGATGGAGAAAAGGGGGGAGAGCATTCCAGGCATGGGAGACAGTCAATGAAAATGCCCAGAGTCAACTGTGGGAAGGCAAGTATCAACTGGGTTGTAGAGTATGTGGAGCAGAGTAAGAAGACTGGAAAGGCAGAAAGAGGCCAGGTTTTAAAAGGTTTTAAAAGGCAAAAAAGGATTTTATTTTTAATCCTGGGAGTGATAGGGAGACATTGGAGTTTTTTGAATGGCAGGGGTAGGGGTGACATGGTCAGACCTGTTCTTTAGGGGGATCAATTTGACAGCTGAGTGGAGAATGGACTGGAGTGGGGAGATCAACCAGGGCTATACAGTTAATATCTATAAGAGGTTAATGTCTGAGGCTGTCTCCATACTGCCTCTTTAACATAGAACACATTAAATTTTGTAAAAAGCCTTAGGCACATGGTCATTTTCGAGCCTTGTGAGAACCCTGAGGAGTAGGTCCTACAATCATTATTTGTTCCATTTTACAGATGGGGAAATTGAGGTTCTGAGAGGTTTGAGACATCCCTATAGTCACATAGCTATATCCCTATCTTTCTAATTCTAAATCCAGTATTTTCTCTATAATGCCATGTTGTCTCCTGAGTATGTTTAAAGGAATTGGGTTTAGTTAGGTCTGAAAGAGGAAGGTTAATGACAGCATCTAGGTGAATCTAGAGATTGTATTATGTAGAAGGGAGCTCTTACTATCAATACTCCTTCTTGTGGGAGTAAATTATAGTGCTTATTGACTTCATATGACTTAGTGCCCCAGACAAGTTTATGACTGTAAGCTGCAGAGCATTTGGCAATCTGCATTGATAAAGAGAATTTCCTCAGTAGAATTTCCCTATATCAGCGAAGTAGAAGATTAGAAAGATATACATAGTTATTGTTATTATAATATGTCAGATGGTGTCCACATGTTTAGCAAACAAGAGAGGATGTGGAAGAGAAGAGGACTTACTGGCCTTGGTGTCAGGAACCCTAGGTTTGAGTCCAAGATCTAATAATTATTAGCTATGTGACCCTGGGCAAGTCGCTTAATTTCTTTGAGCTTCAATTTCCTCACATGTGAGGAACTACCTCACAGGGCTATTGTGAAAAAAGCCCTACAAGGATATGAGCTATTATTTTTCTATTAATTTCTATTATTTTTCTATTTGTATATCCAGCACTTAGCACAGTGGCTTTGCACATAGTAAACAGTTAGTAATTGCTTCATTCATTTATTCATTCACATCTTCCAAAGGATAGGGTAAGAGGAAGGAGTCTTAATTTGCTGCAGAAGGGAGTTAACTAAAAGAACCTATGGAGTTGGAAAGAACTTTAGCAAGCTTCCCATCTTACAAATGAGAAAACAGACATGGAGATGAAATGTCCCTTGCCTACCACCCCACAGCTAGTTAGTGGCAGAATTGGAATTACAATCCAGGCCTCCTCCTTCCCCTTCTAGTGCCTTTTCCACTCTGAAGCACTGCCTTGTTATAGATATTTTAGCTTTTCTATATGATTTCTGCCAGCTGGGTTGAACTCCCAAAGTTTGACAGATAGGGAGAGGAAAAGAAGGGAGAATAATCAGGGCAAGATAGATGATCATGAGGGAGTATGGTAGAGGGGAATGAATTGGGAGAAATGTACTTAGGAGAAACAAAATCGACTTGCTCTCTAGGAAAGAAGAACAGAATGTCACCATCACTTACCCGGCACGACCTCCAGGTGTGTTCCTTTCCCAAAGATCAGTGCATTACACTGCCTGCAGTCCCAACACAAAAACCTCTCTTTTCTTGTCAGCATAGCTGTCTTGGCATCCACACCCAGGCAGCTGGGCTTGCTCCTTGTTATCCCCACCCCCACTTTTTGCTTTCAATCATATTTGAAAGAGTTGGGTTTGGTTAGGTTTGGAAGAGGGAAGCCTGGAAAGGAAGACTAACGACAGTGTTTAGGTGAATCCAAGGATTTTATCATATAGAGAAGGGCTCCCACTGCCAATACTGATGATGCCTACATGTTCAGCACACAAGAGCAGATGGGATATTGTGGAAAAGTACTGTTCTGGGAGTCAGAAAACCTGGGTTTGAGTCTTGCTCCATCACATTAGTTATGCGATTCTGGGCAGATCCCTTAACCTCTCTGAGCTTCAGTTTCCTCATCTATAAAATAGGGAAAATGATATTTATACTATCCACTTCACAGGTTATTGGGAGGAAAGCCCTACATAAATATGGGCTCTTATTATTATTTTCCAAAGGAGATTATTATTATTATTATTATCTTCCAAAAGAGGAAGTGGTCTTAAATTGCAGCAAGAAGGAATTTTGCTAGTTGAAAAAAAAAACCAGAATTGGAGAAAATCCTAGTGTACAACCTTCTAATTTTACATATGAGACATCATTTCCTTAAGGTCACATAGCTAATTAATGGCAAAATTAGGATTAATTCTCTCAGCCCAGGGATCTTTCCTTCATATATCACTGCTTACAGGTACATTTGAACATGCATATTCACTACCAGTTGGGTTGGACCTCCAAAGTTTGACAGACAGAGGGAAAAGAACAGAGAATAGTCAGAATAAGATAAGGTGAACATGTGAGTGTTGCAGATGGAAACTTTCAGCCTCTTAAAAGTAATTAAAGAAATGTACCAAGAAGAAACAAAGCCTATTTTCAGTCTTGGAAAGAACCTAGCCATAGTTACTTACTTGGCATGACCTCCAGATGGGTTCCTTTTCCAAAGATCAGTGTTGTATGTATAACACTACTTTTTCTCCCAGCATAAAACTCTTTTCTTATCAGCATAGCAGATCTAGCATCAACACTCAGGCGAAAAGGCTCTCTTGTTAAAGCCATCTATAGTCATATGAAAAAATGCTCTAAATCACTATTGATTAGAGAAATGCAAATCAAAACAACTCTGAGGTACCACATCACACCTATCAGATTGGCCACCATGACAAAAAAGAAAATGATAAATGTTGGAGAAGATGTGGGAAAATTGGAACACTGATGCATTGTTGGTGGAGTTGTGAAATGGTCCAACCATTTTGGAGAGCAATTTGGAACTATGCCCAAAGGGCTTATAAAAATGTGCATACCCTTTGACCCAGCAATAGCACTTCTAGGGCTGTATCCTAAAGAGATCATACAAATGGGAAAAGGACCCACATCTACAAAAATAGTCATAGCGGCTCTTTTCGTGGTGGCAAAGAGTTGGAAATTGAGAGGATGCCCATCAGTTGGGGAAAGGCTGGACAAGTTGTGGTATATGAATGTAATGGAATACTATTGTGCTATAAGAAATGATGAGCAAGCAGACTTCAGAAAAACCTGGAAAGACTTATATGGTCTGATGCTGAGTGAAGCAAGCAGAACCAGGGGAACATTGTACACAGTAACAGCCACATTGTGTGATGACTAATATTGATAGATTTAAACCTTCTCAGCAATACAAGCATCTAAGATATCTCCAAAGGCCTCATGATGGAAAATGCTATCCACAGCCAAAGAAAGAACTATGGAGTTTGAATGCAGATCAAAGCATACTATTTGCTATTTTTTTCTGTTGTGTTTTGTTTCCTCTTTCTGGTAGTTCCTTCTATTGGTTCTAATTCTTCCTTACAACATCACTAATGTGAAAATATGTTTAGAAGGAATATATATGTATAGCCTATATCAAATCGTGTGCTGTCTTGGGGAAGAAGGTAGGGAGGGAGGGGGAGAAAAATTAAAAACTCAAAAGCATATGAAAGTGATTGTTGATAAATCAAAATAAGTTATTTAAAAAACAAAAACAAAAACAAAAAAAACCAAACCAAACCCAAAAAAGGCTCTCTTCTCCTTAGCTCTCCATCCCCAACTTTTCAGTCCCGTCTGGCCTGACTTCTTAACTCCTCATTCTCAAAGGAGGCCTAGTTAGGAATAATCTGTGATTTGGTTATTTGACCAAAGTCCTGCAGCTAATTAGTGTAAGAATTTGAAATAGAATCCAGGTGTCTTGATTCTCAGCTTAGGGGCCCTCTATACCAATGCTGTCACATTCATCTAGAAATGAGGCCACTAAGGATCCCTGTGGGCTGCACATTGATTAAAAAACCCACATATGAACATTCTCTATGTTCTATTGTATTTTTATTTATTTTGTTGAATATTTCCCAATTACAGTTTAATCTGGTTCCTGCTGCACTCTGGAATGGTGGCTGCAATGTGGCCGGTGGCCCAGGTGTTTGACACCTCTGTTCTACATCACGCTGCTTCATTACAGCTGCATTATAGTGTCAATTTGTGAGTGAGAATCATGTAATCATAGATTTAGAGCTGGAACGGCCAGCTAGTTCAATCCTCTCATTTTAGAGATGAGGAGATTGAGGCTTAGTGAGTTTAAGTGACTGGCCCATAGTCACACAGTAGATACCAAAGTCAGGATTTGAACCCAGGGCTCCCTGACTCTAAGTCGAGAACATTTTGCATTATGTTCTACTGGCAGCTTGGTGGCTGAGTGGAGTGGACAAAATGCTGGATGCAGAGTCAGAGAAACCCAAGTCAAATCCTGCCCCAGACACTTACTGGGAGAGCTAGTGCTCTATGACCCTGGGCAAATCATTTAACCTTGCTGCCTCAGTTTCTCATCTGTAAAACAGGGATAATGGTAACTCATACCTCTCAGGGCTATTGTGAGGGTAAAGTAAGATGACATTTATAAAACACTTTGTAAAACTTAAATAGCTATATATGTGATGTGATGATGATGATGATGATGTTGGTGATGATGCCATGCTGTCTCTCACCTGCAACCTAATGGGTTGGTCAACCAAAGTTCAACATATGGAAGAGTGATGTGAATGGAGAATATTTAGGGGAGGAAGGGTGATTATGAGGGCCAGTTGTCAGTCTATAATCCATATTGGATAGAGCAGGAGATTCTGTCCTTGTCTGTCATATCTGACCCTTCATTTGTTTCTCTGCCATCCCTCTGCTAGGTTGGGGAAGGGAGGGTTTTTTTTTTATCCAGCTCATGAGTGGAAGAGGTAGGACTAGAAGCCATGCTTCCTCTAGTCATGAGGGGCTTTAGGCACTGAAATAGGTTGTTGAGTGAGACTGTGGAAGAATCCTTTCTGAAGGTCTTTAAGAATAAAGAACAGACACCTACCACTCTGGGATGGTTGAGCTGCCTTCCCTCCTGGGAAGGGGGTTGTTACCAGATGACCCCTGGGGGGTCTTTACCATTATGAAGAGGCTTTGAACAGTCAAGAAGCACAATCTCTGATTTCTGACTCCCTTCATTTTCTCATGGTTTTTTGTCATGCTCGCCATTTCAGTCTTTCATACTTTTTTCTGATTAAAGAGCTGGAGGTAGATAAAATTTTCCTCCTTTTCAATAGAGCCTGAATCCTGTGCTGTGCAATGCACTTGTTGGATAGAATTTAAAGCAGAGAAAAGAAAATTATTTTGACCAAAGTCCTTGAGATTGATGAAGAATATCAAATCTATTTTGCCCTATTATTCTCTCAACAATCACTTTATGAGTGCTTAGGATTATAGAAAAATAGATTTGTTTGTGGGAAGGACTTTCAGAAAATATCTATTCTCATTCTTGCTATAAGACCTTCTGTTCAGAGTTGGAAGGTGTCCTAGAGATCCATAGAATCTTAGAAAGGGACTTGGGAGATCATCTAGTCCAAACCTCTTATTTTACAGAAGAGGAAACTGAGGTCCAGAGAAGTTATGTGACTAGTTGGACATGACACAAATACTAAGTAGCCGAGTTGGAATTTGAACCCAAGTTCTCTGACTTCAGGTACAGCACTTTAATCTGTGTTACAGGGTTATTATGCAGTAATATAGGTAATATGATCATTATCTACATTTTATAAATGAGGAAGCTCAGGCTTATAGAGGTTAAGTCACTTACTTGCATTTCCATCACTAATAAGTAGAAGACCTAGGCCTAAAAATCAAGTACTTGGCTCTTTGGCCAGTGATCTTTCCATTGCATAATTAAGTGAGTCCAGGTGATGTGTGTGTGTGTGTGTGTGTACTAGTGGTACTCCAGAAATGGGACTATAACTCTCTTAAAGGGTCTCCTCACTGTGAGCACTTACTCATCACAGGAAATGGCTTGAGAAGAGTTTGATATGTAGAATTTTTTTTTTTTGTAATCCCATAAATGAGAACTTAGAAATTGCTTCAGAGGATAAATAAAAGGGTTGGGAGAGGAAGGGCCTCCAGAAGAGAAGACAAAGGAGCTAGGATTGTAGTATCATTGATGCAATTAATATTGTTTTATGAATGAATGCATTAATTAATTGGCTAATTAATGCATGAATATTGGGTTATCCAAAAGATTATATAGTTCTGGGAGACTGCCATCTTCACCAACTGGTAAACTATTTTCTATTAAAATAGAATATTAGCAAAGCTTGGTTGATTCAAAGTCCAATTTGTATGGTCCATTTTAAATGAATAAGAATTGACTCCAAATGATCCTGTTCTTAGGATCATAGAATCCCAGGGGTTGGAAGACCCTTCAGAAGGACATATAGAATCACAGAATTCTGAAATCATTTAGTACAATATCTTTATTTTATATATGTATAAACTGAGACCCAGATAAGTAAAGGGGCCTTCTCATGGTCAGGTCAAAGAGTTCTTTAATTATGGAGTATAGATTAGAACCAAGGTTGGTATCCTGATACCCTGGCCACTGTTCTTTCCACTACTCCATTTTGAATATGTTTTGTGGTAATTGATTGGCTGTTTAAGATATGGGACAAGGAAGGGTCAACAATAACAGTGGGAAAAGTACAGAACAAATAATTTAATGTATGGGATATCTATAGGATCACAGGATTATATGACTTTAGGAAA